TCAACGACGGCCCTATCAGCGATCTCGCCGTAATCTTCGACGTGGCCAGGCTCATATTGAAAAATTGCACTTTTTTCTTAGTTCGTAGACTACACGGACGTTGGAGTGTTTGTGTTTGCAGTGAAGCATTGGCGCGAAGAAACTATCTATGTTCGAGTTGTTTACCGAGACCAACGGGTAGTAAGTACGCGAACGCAGCGACCGCTACAATTAGCCTCATACTTGTAACGCGCAACGCATAAAGGCCTGCGATTACACAGTCAAGCGGAAACTGTAAACGATGAGTGGGAAAGCAAAGCGAAGTATATTAAAGCGTCGAACAGATACAATTAGACGCGCCAGAGGGAAAGACGCGGGTAGAGGACATAAAGGATCATTGAGTAGAGGCTTCGGCTTCCGACGTCGGTTTGTTGTTTCTGTACATAGGCCGGCCGATCAAAGGCCTAACCTTGACACCGTTCTGGATATCCTTCATTTTCTGTACGGCCAGGCTGATTTTCTCCACGCGCGCTCGTTGTCTCCGCTTGTTGAGGTGAGAATAGTCGGCACCGACACCGACTTCCACCCCAAAGACCTCCTTTTTCTGTGGTGGAGGGGGAGCCTGCTTCGGAGGAAGAGGCTTCCAGACAAACTCCATTTGCGACGCGGCGAGTTTCTTCTTCTCCTTCTCTGTCGTCGCCGAGGCCTCCTCTGCCGCTAGCCGTGCAGCCGCCTTGGGTTGTCGGAATGTACCAATCTCAGAGGAGGCCTTCATTGAAGCCAGAATTTCGGCCTTCAAAAACCTAGCCTGGAATTAGCAACAAAGTAAAAGAACAGAAAAGACGATGTTGCGCACCTGATAGACCGAATAGGGTGGTCGGGATGTGAAGGATATAGATCCCTAGCCTCTGGCACTATAATCTTTGACTTTCCATGTCTCGTTTTTGGGACCGCGCGAGCAGGGGGCCGGGGCAGTGGGTAGGGTTCGAAGCCGGGGGGTGCTGGCTCCTGCACTGCCAGCTTGTACAGCTGTTTCGTGCTGACGCCATCGGGAAATTGCTGTGTGCGGAAGATGTTGCGGACGATGTCAATGCCCGCTGCCCGCGCAGCACAGCGCTGTTGGATAAACTTGGGGACCGCGGAAGCCATTTGTGTAGTCGCCGCGGTCGTTCGCGACAGCGACCTCCCCGAAATTTCCCCTTACGTAAGGTATATGTATATTTGGCTGTGTCTGTTCCCGCCAAATAGATGCAATCGGCGTTAACCGGTCCATTGTAAACTCTCTCCGCCACCGTTGCAGACGACGTACTCGATCCCCCCGCATGGGTCCTCCCCTCAGATATCCAGCATCGACCCCCCAAACGACCCAATTAACAGCTCCCAGCCATCAAACTTCCCAGATGTCCCGCGAAGATCCACTACCGACGGGAGCGCAGACTCCATCTGTCAACCTGGGCATGTCCCCCTCCGTGAGATATGAGAGCAATCTCAAAGTTCTACGAAGGCGGGATCCCTCTATTGTATCAATTTTTGACCAGTTCGGTCATGTGTGCGTATACCACCACGATGGGACGAAATGGGCGAAACATGGCTTCGAGGGCAGCATGTTCTTATTTGAACGGTGAGCCGCCGTGCAGACAATAGAAATGGAACATATCAGGAAACTTTATTGCCAGAAACCGCTATCCGCCATACGGCCTATATATCCTGAACCGTGTCGGAAGCGAAGACTATATTCAATCGATCTACCCTGAAGACGACATCAGAGACGGCGGCAAATTCATTGTCATCAGATCTTACCCCGACTTTCTTGCCAATCGAATGGCCAGCATACAACCCAACACAGATGGCACCCCTTTGGACAGATTCTCGCCGAGGTATGCTGTCCCAGGAATCGACGACATTCCTATGACGGAGAAAGGCCGCGTTGTCGCAGTAGGCCTATGGATGCTTGCAGTCGATTCACGCGAATCGATGATGGAGGTTATGAAAAGGTGCGTGGTGTATGATGTCAAGCGCAGCATTTGTTGATGATATCGCAGATTGCATTTCTACATCAAACAAAACCTTCCCTATCCTGAAGAGTATCGGTACGGACCCGGTCGTCCACCTCCACCCCACAAGTTGCGGGCAGTGCGAAAGCCAGGTTAGTTGGAATCCACCTTTTTCCACATGTATACTTGACTAACTTTGTGCGTTTCAGTTCCTGGCCAACCAACAGGGTCCGCCTCGCATGCACCTGTACAATCAGATAGCGAAAACGACCAACGATACCACTCGGATGCACCATCTGCATCCAGCGGCGAGCTCTCAGCCGTCGATAAGCTATTCATGAAGATTCAGACGCCATTCGCCCCTTCGTCTTCTGCTTCTCCATCTGCTCCTCCGCCGACATCCCAGCCGACAAATGTTACGCTGAGCACCCTATTTGCTTCTGCCATGAGCCCTCAGCCTGGTTCCAATGCGCAGTCCAACCGTCCAGCATCCACATGCACATCTGTTTCAGCAGCAACACCCAACACTGGACTCGCATTGCTAGACAGCATCTTTGCATCGGCTGCCCCACCAGCCCCACCTTCTTCTCAGGGCCCCTTAATCTTATCGCCGCAACCGACCACCTCCCCACCTCAAGTGCTCAATCAAGACGTAGTGTCAACTCTTCTAGGGATACCACCTTCCCGTACCCCGTCTGCTGCATCGGGCTACAGCACCTCCGCCGTCTCCCATCCCAGCTCTCGCGAAGGCGATAACGAAGACGACGATGAAAGCGACTCGCCGAGTCCCATATTCCAATCCGTAGAAAGTGCATCCAGCATCGCTAGAAACGCCGGATCCGATCTTCTCAGCAGCCTTGGCCTTGGGATTCCTCGATTGGGCGGCCAGGGCAAGATAAACGGCGACGTCACGCCTCGAAACGGGCTTCAGCGCGCCGCGTTACCATCCGGCATTGAAGCGATATCGTCGACGCAGACTGTCCGCGATGGCCGTGCGCCGGCGTCTAAACCAGAACTTCAATACAATGGCAAACCCAGGGCCAATAGGGCACTGGTGCCATTCGAGCCAGACTCGGAGCTCTGGCCCTACTCGCGCGGTGGGGCACAAGAGGAGTCTTCAGCCAGCGAACGTGACGATGATTCGGAAATCATGGAGCTTAGCTTCGAAGAGACGAGTGTGCTGAGTGATCCTGAAGCGTTCGATAAGGCGCTTAAGAGTAAACGGAGCGCCGTAAATCTTAGAGGGCATACGACCGTCGCGAATGGACACAACATATACCCCAATGGCGATGCCGCTGCTGGTCCAGACGATCGGAGCCCGAAGGGGAAGGGGAAGGGCAGGAAGGGCAAGAAGGAGAGGGAGGCAAGGGCGCGGGAGGCGATTGAGAAGAGCTGGGATGTGCCGCCGCCGTCGGCGCCGTCGCCTGCGTATCAGCCTGACCAACAGCAGTGTGCCGGGTCGAGGCACTTGCATCCTTCGGTCGCGTCCCCCGAAAATGGCGCCAGCCAACTCCCTGCACCTGAGATGAAGACGCCTACAATGGCCGCTCGCGCGACGCTGGCGCACGTTGCAGGCAGCAATGGCGCCGGAATTTTGTCTCCGCAACTGAAAGGGAAGAGCAAGGCTTTGAACGGGCGTGTCAAAGTCAATGGTTCTGCCAGTGGTGTGGATGCTGAACTGGTGGGCGAGAGTATTATCGCGACGCTAGAGGCGCAGCCGCATCCTGTTGGGAAGATGGAGAAGAGGCAGTTCACCCAGGAAGTGTTGACTCTTATCCACGTGCGTGTCCTTTCTATTTCTCGGAATCTTTCTGTGCTCATGACGTTGGGATTTAGACTGACAAAGCTTTCGTGGACATGCTCTTCCACGAATACATGGCGCGTCAAGCGTGAACGACCACCCATCAGCCCATTCCCAACTTTCGCTCTCTCAAGACTTCAACACGTTTTATCAACCCCCACTTTTAGCTAATTTAATCCTTACTTGTTTATCGTTGGCGTTCTGGTCATTATATCCATCATCCCGCACTCCTCGCCTCGCCATCAACTCTTGTATTTTCGCACAACTACGATCCTTGGACCACCGTTGATCATGGCTTTTTTTTGCTGGGAACATGATTCGACGCGGACAGGCGAGCGAGCGCCGCTATTGTATATTTTCCCATCCTCCCCAATCCATCCATGCAGCAAATGCAACGACGAACGATGATTTTATCATCCTGTTTATCTCTCGCACGAAATCCGTCACGGACCCTCCCCACAATCATGACTTATTATTCGAGTCTGTCTCAATGCCAGCTCGACCAGACCGACGCATCATCTTTCCATCCAATTTAGTTAGCAAGTCAGCATTAGTCGCACCAATTCGTCCAGTTACCTTCAGTATCATAAACGCATGCAGTGTATTCCTAGCCATCCTCTCTATTTTCGGTCTTTCTTTCTTTCCATATTTCACTTTTTTTTTCTGTCTCGTTCTACCCCCGTTGTTATATTTACCACGATTCCGTCTTTGCGATTGAACTCATTTTTTTTCTCCTTGTTTTATTTCTGGGTTATATAACTGTACCTTCCCTTCTAGTGAGTATTCCGGTTTTGTGCATCATTCCTACATACGTACTTCATTTTTTTTCTGTCATATTTTCCTTCTTTTTCCGAAGACCTTGATTTGTATTTTGACGATACTTCTTGTTAGCCTCACAGATCCCTGTCCCGTGCCCCGTCTTGTTGTCATGATGTTTTCTGTAGCTCCCAAGCATTACGCTACTACTTCCTACCTACTAGCTATAACATCCACACCTCCCTAGATACATCCACAGTCTTTACAAGCCACCCTATCCTATCGCATCGTGTTACCTATCCCCAACAATTTGCATGATGTCTGCACATCAATGCAGCTATGTTCTCTTGCGTGATTTCTACGTGTTGTAAATTGTAAACCATAATACTAATAATTGATCGACAAACAAAATCCCGGGATTGATTGGGCAGTCGTTCGTGAGGCTAAAAAAAGGCCAACACAGAGATAATCTCTCTGTCTGGGAGTCGAACCCAGCTTTCGCGCGATCAGATTCAAACTTGACAGGCGCGTGTACTAACCGATATACTAACAGAGACTACAATTTGTTACAGCTATTTGCATAAAGCTCGACATTCCGCCCCCGCGCACGAAAGAGAAGGAAACTCCGCAGAACGAGCCACAATCTAGGGTTTCTCGCCCGGCGACTGCGTTCCTCAACCCCACGGGCTTCGGCTGGTGTACTATATACCCTAATGATATTCCATGTTTACAAAACCTGATATATGCACCGTTATGTCTAAGGATTTGCTTAAAGATTGGCCCCCTATTAGCGCTCTGCAGCAGCAGCAGCAAACACTGCAAATTGGAGGATGAGCATACAGACGGTGAACACCTCATTGCGAACTACGTCAGGCCGGACACTGTAGCATGTATTATGCTGTATACTCTCGTTATGACTCACAAATCGATACCTTAATTCCTCACCCAGTTCTCACACCATCACAATTTAGTGCGGTGATCTTTGAGTGCCCAGAAGTGCTCAATCCCTTCCCTGCAGTTTCCAACATCCTCAATATCCTTTGAAGTGGTGATTGGGAATGCATATATTCAGGCGCGAGCTGCTGAATGTTGGCGGAATGGTGGAAACAGGCGTGTAACATGAGCGTGTCATCATTGGTCCAGTTCTTGCAATAATTCATGTCAGATGAAGTGGTTGAGGCTTCTCTAGGGTGAGATGAGTGAAACTGAATGGCATTACGCCCAAAATGAGATCGAGGTAGAGAGCAAGTGTCGGATTGCGGGGACAGGACGGAGGAACCCTAGGTTAGGGCTCGCGCTGCGGAGTTTCTTTCTCTTTCACGCGCGCGCGGAGTGTCAACATGTCAACCTTTATGCAACCAGCTGTAAGTATATGATGTCAAACGTACCAACACATGGAAATTATCATGGGTGCGATTGAATGTGCGCAAGGCTTTCGTTAAAACTCTTGACATTGTTTTGGAAAGATACTACAACAAACGTCCAATTCTCTTCGACGACCGTTTAGCCGTTCTGCCTGCAAATCTCTTCCAAGGGGCGAGGGTCCTTGACGTAGGATGTAACGAGGGCCGGGTGACTTGTGAAATAGGTGTGTACCATCCGATTTCCATAATCCATTTCAGCAAGGACTTATGCAATGGGGCTTTCCGTCAAGCTCAATCGCGTGGAGCACATCTCGTTGTGGGGGTCGACATCGATGATTCATTGATCCAAGCGGCGTGGAGGAGGCGCATTTCGGTGTGGTCGACTCAGGCTCCTACACATCCCGCTCGGTCAGAAGAGAGCACGACGAACAAACGAAGGCGAGAAGAGTCCCAAACGCCTCCGAATCGACACTACTTCCCCGCTTCCTGCGAGCATGAACTTGGACCTCTGCCAATACCACCGTCTTCGAACAGAGGCAAGACCAACTTTCCGCATAATGTTTCCTTCCGCACCGCAGATTGGGTTCAGACGGAGATCCCAGAAGATGCGGAGGGTTATGATGTTGTCATCGGGTACGTGAGTTGATACATGTCCGCTGAAAGGACCGGTGTTGAACGTTGACTGTGCAATATAGCTTTTCGGTTTCTAAATGGATACACCTCAACGAAGGCGATGAAGGGCTGAAACAGTTTTTCAAGCGAGTCTTCGGTGTCCTCAAACCAGGCGGTTCGTTTATCTTAGAGCCACAGCCTTGGGAATCGTATGCCAAAGCTAAACGGATGAGTCAAGTACGTTTTGCTTGCTATATCTCCTGGCCATGAAGCTGATTTAATACTTCACAGAAACTCAAAGACAACGCGAAAAATCTGGTTCTTCGCCCTGCGGACTTCGAGTCTATCCTCAGTGATATTGGCTTTCGACCGGCGCAACATTTTGGATTTATTGGCGAAGGAGGTTAGATTCTCTTGCATATCTTTTTGAACTACACTTCTCAACTAGTGATTTTCTAGGATTCAATCGCCCAATAGAATTGTATACAAAAAGCTGAGGACATGTCGTCTACAGCCAGCAACCGCATAATTGTTACAGAACACTTCCCTTCCGTGGTATAATTTACTTTCTAATACAACAAGGTTTACTTTAAATGTCTACAAATGTCCTTCAAGATACAAAGCCTCACTAGGCTTGACATTGGATAATTTCAGGTGGAGGAAAATAAGGCTTGTACTGGCTGGTCTCGGTCAAATTCTATGAAGAAAACATCAACATACGACTTGGACAGAAGTTTTGTGAACATATACTATGGCGCTCTTGCTGCTTATACTGTCTATCTCCCTATCCCTGCTCCCCGTCTTGCTCAACAATGCTGGCTTTGGCAGCGGTGGTATGTCGTTCAGCCTGAACGTCAAACGGTCGTTGGACACCATGATAGTCGACCTTTGTCGACTCGAGGTTGCTGGATTTCTGAATGCAGTTGGACTGTTCAGAGAATCGTGACTCTCTTCTTGTGTTCGCCGCCGTCCTGCCACGATCTCCATGCGGTTGTTCAGTAAGACCAGCATCGTGTTCGCATACACCTTCGAGACGGTAAGTCCAGGAATAATGAAAGCTGAATCGTTCCCGAAGTACAGGCATAGATGCAGTATGGCGACGATAGCTATAGCAAACGTTGGATCATTTGGGACGAGATCGCAGCAGGTCCGAACTTACCGGTCAGGATGCCAGTCTCGATAATCAGCCGCACGAGTTTAACGACCATAACATGAGTCGTCGGAAGGCCCGTCCCATGACGCATAAGCTAGAAGACTCCCCAAATTAGCAGTCTTCTTCCAGGAGATTGCTATACAGTAACCCTCGGTGAATCAACGCACATAATACGGCATGGACAAGGCTATCACGATATCACAGATTGCACCAATTCCGTTCCACACCTAAAATTAACCCTCATGTTGAGGCTTTTATCAATACTAAAACGCAGCGGCACACGACTCACACCTATAGATGCCAACGATTCGAACGCGCCCACGTCTTCTTGATTTAAAAGGAGTGAAAAGGTCTTTGCACGAAAGAACGTCGCGGCGGCGATCAACGCAGACACCAAAGATGCCACAGCCAACTAACGCCTAATCAGCACTGTTCACCGGAAATCGGAGGCGAAGTGAACTCACTGTTGCTATGATTACGGGCGGTCCCTTTGAAGGGCTCTTAGATGTGATTTGGAGAGCGGCGGCAGCGCTGCTTTGGGTCATCATCCAGATACGATACGCAAAGAAGAGTTGACCAATTCCTCCCGCTGAGGAAGCACGTTATCAGAAAAACGTTGTCCACAACGAGGCGAATTGACTCACTGAATCCACCGGCAACTGGGATGGTAAACCAGTGGTTGTAAATATCATTCACCATACTCAGCGGATCCTCTACCCCAATTGAGGACGCGAGAGCGGCGTATACATCATGTGAAACGATTCCGGTTTGCACGAGCTCAAACAGAAACACAGTGTAAACGAGAATCTTAGCGAGTAGTCGGTCCTTCGGGAATGCGATGTAGTATGCATCTTCGAGGAGATTAGTATTCATGACTCCAATGAATGGAAGTCGACGACTCACAGATTTGGATTGCCAGTATTCCCATAAGCCCCCAGTTCAAGTACGCCGCCAGGACCTATTTTAAAGTCAATACCATCCTGCACCGTATGACTGTTCGAGATAACATACCAGGTCCCTGCCTCTGAAGAAGATAACAATCCATGAGTCATCAAGTTCCCGGCGCGATTGGAGGACATATACTCACAGATTGCGAATGAATCCCTGGTCGACGGGCATATCTGCAAACAGAATGGATGCACCTGCTCAGCCCTCGGGCTCTCTTATAACTTGGCTGTGTCTACCCGAAAAATAGAATCTAGCGTGCCATCGGTGAGGCACCAACTGTTTGCAAAAAAGTTCTCACCCGCAACATACGGAGATGAATCTGTCTTTCTATATCTGTGCCTAATACAGCTTTGGCGATGAGGCGATTAGGTGCTATTAGTGTGCATTTTGGGTTGAGCCTATGTTGGTGATGTGGGCGGCAAACGTGCGTAGTCGCCGCGTTGATATCCAGTTCGGGTCCATTTGTGTCGATTGGGTGGTTGCTGCGCCAGAATGTCTGCTGCAAAGAGTTAGCTAGACTGTAGAGAGCAGATAACGAGAGGTTACAAGCGAGCACGCTATGCGAAGTTGTCTCGTTATTAGAGAACAGCCTTGCACTGGACGCGACGCTGACGCTGCTCAGAAGATGGTGCCAAGCATGCCGTCACTGCTAAAAATAGTGCTTACACCTACGGTGCCAAATATGGCATCCAATGATGGTCGTGTTTGGCGCGAACGTGCGTCCGAGTGCTCTGCTTTACGAGCATCCCTGCTATAGATACCTCTGGAAACCACTTCTTTTGTGTATTCTTGTCACTTTCAGCGTTATTCCAGAGTTCTCAATTGTCATGACAGCATCTTTTCATTCAGTTTAAGGTTTTCCTCCAGATATGCGTGGGGAAAGATAGTTGTGGAGAGTTCGCCGAAAACGGATTCGTCTAGAATGTCAGGTAGATCATTTATATGGTTCTATATGCGCATTGCACACCAAAATCAAGCGCCGCCTTCGCCCGTGAGCAAGAATGCGGTCTGGGCGCCAATATATTCCCACTATCGTCGGGATGATGTACCCCCCTGTAGCCCGCCGTGAACTCGTGTGATGACTATGTCTTGCACACAGATATCGGAACTAATAGGCATGGATACCGAGACATCCTGAAAGATAAGCAGAGACTGTTGCAAGAGCTGGAACCACGAGCTCGCCGGTGCCTTGTCTGTCCCTGGAGAAAACATGGTCAACTCAGGTCGAAATCTCTGTTTGGTCATTGAACGTGCTCTGCCTACCACGTTCGAAATTGAATAGGAGTTTTGGAAAGGGACCATGTTCTGAAGTTCCACATTCCGAATCACGGAAAGTGCTTGGGATTCGGAAGCAGCGCTGTTGAAAGCGCTCGTCATACTTAAATTTACTTGCAAGCTTTGCTTGGATAACTCCAAATCATTCTTGTCATTCAGTGGAACTACACAATAGCAATATATAATACAGATATGTCAGTCTAC